CAAATCCAAATCCAAATCCAAACTTGAAGTGAGCTGTGCAATCAAATAAGGCTCCTGAAAATACATACACTGTACATAAGCACATTAATAAATGAACATGTATGTATAAGGTAAAGGTAAAGATTCCTCTGCACATGCATGTTAGTCATTTCCAGCTCTAGGGGCAGTGCTCATCTCTGTTTCTAAGCGGAAGAGCGAGTGCTGTCCGAAAACATCTCCGTGGTCATGTTGTCAGCATGACTCAACGGCAAAGACGCATGGAGCTTTCCCACCAAAGTGGTCCCTATTTTTCTACTTGCATTTTTTAATGTGCTTTCAAACTGCTAGGTTGGCAGAAGCTGAGACAAGTAACGGGAGCTCACCCCGTTATACGGCGTTAGGGATTTGAACCACTGAACTGCCGACCTTCTGATCGATAAGCTCAGCATCTTAGCCACCACGTCCTGTATGTATACACAACCTATGATACAATATTTTGTTGTGTGGTGGTTAAAGACCCTGATCTAGAAGCTGGGAGACCATGGGTTCCACTCCTGCCTTAGGCATGAAGGCAACTGATTGATTTTGAGCCCGTCATCTTCTCTTCTCCCTAGGAAAAAGCAGGGTTTCATCCTGCGGGGGAGTAATTTGGGATGATACTCATGACAATGATTATGATGACACCTGTTATTTATCTATCCTGCAGTTAACTAGTAGCTTTTTAGATCAAGGCTGATATTTTTAGAAATGTACCATAAAAATATTATCAGATGAAACATGATAGGGACAATATTAGTTGCATGTTTGAACCATGAATCAGGACCTCTTTTCTCTACCTATGCTCACATAGTTTTTCCTCTAGCAGAAGCTTGTATGTCATCTTACAAGTATTTTACACCATCTAGTGGATAAAACATGAAGTACTCTATTCCAAATAAAGTAATCTTGTCTATTTTGTTTCATCTTTAATTTGTCTGGATAATGTTGTATTAGCATTTGCAATCAATAATATATGAATAGAGAGAGATCTATACTGTAAGGGGTTCCATGTTGAACAGAATCTGTTTCTTCAGATGACCCTGTTACTGTCAGGTACTTCTTCAGCTGCCTTTAAATTCCAAGAAATTAAAATAATGTAAATAAGTTACAGATAGGTTAATGTGCTTGAAAGTAATTCTCCTCTATCAGATGTGTTGACCATTACTTTCAGGATCTCTAGTCAATGTTGAATACAGAATTAAGGGATCTGCAGTTTTAACACATCTCAATAACAACTGTAAAGCTGCGTAGTAGGGCATAGTTGTCAGAAAAGAATGCTGTTCAAGAGAATGAGTAAGGTTCCCAGGTAAAAAGATTGGGAAAATACAACCAGGTGGTTGGAAATAAGGAGGTGTTTTGGGGAAGTGGATAAAAGAAGAAAACTATAGTTAGGAAAGATTTTAGATTGAGGCTTATTCCTAGGTGATGGTATGGTAGCTGTAGCTAGGAACGGTTTTTTTCAGTTTGGTGTTACAGCAACTTGAGAAGTTATAATATACAGCATTTGTTTATTGATAATACGAGTTTTCCAGACTGTACCGTGTTTCCCCTAAAATACGACAGGGTCTTACATTGTT